TTTTTTTTCATCTGGCCTTCAGATATGAAAGGCAGAGTGATTTAACACCTGTTTAGATTTGTCATCCATGTGACGAAATGAAAAGTATGCCGTTTGCAATAAACTTTGCATAAAATAGTTAATTTGCATTTAATTTTAATGGTTCAAAGAATGTCAGGCAAAATGGTCAGCCCTCACGCATGTTCACTTCATCAAATCTGGCCCTCGTTGAAAAAAGTTTGGACACCCCTGAAATAAACCTACCTAAATAGCTTGATCTTGTCCTCCCACCCCCCAAGTTATCCAGCAAAGGAGATTTTATGGTATGTCTACACTATAATAATACTTCCACAGCTGGTGGGTAAGGGTATAAAATTGCACTGGAGACAGTATGGCTTGGGAATCCTACCCCCCCGAACATATACACTGCAATCTCATAGCTCTGAAGTCCAAGCCCTATGAGCCTGAGCCAACTGATATCAGCCAGCTGTGTGTGTTTACTGCAATGCAGATATACCTTTAGTGTTCCAGTACATATCTGCCTCAGAATAAACTTTTCCAAATCTAAATAGTTCAGATTTGAAATTAAGAGGAACATTTTAAATGTCCTTTTCCAGCATATAGTGTTAGCCTTTAACTTAGGCAGTTGTATATTTGCTTTTTGGGAGGAAAAACTAATTGGCTACGTCTAGACTGACATAATTTTCTGGAAATGCTTTTAACGGAAAAGTTTTCCATTAAAATCATTTTCGGAAAAGAGCGTCTAGATTGGCACGGACGCTTTTCCACAAAAGCACTTTTTGCGGAAAAGCGTCTGTGCCAATCTAGACGTGCTTTTGTACAAAAAAGCCCCGATCGCCATTTTCACAATCGGGGCTTTTTTGCGCAAAACAAATCCCAGCTGTCTACACTGGCCCTTTTGCGCAAAACTTTTGCGCAAAAGGGACTTTTGCCTGAGCGGGAGTAGCATAGTATTTCCGCAAGAAGCACTGATTTCTTACAGTAGGAAGTCAGTGTTTTTGCGGAAGTGTAGACAACTGGCAAGTTTTTCCAGAAAAGCAGCTGATTTTCCAGAAAAACTGGCCAGTCTAGACACAGCCCTGAACACGAGTCTTCAGGGGAAAGATGCAGCGGTGAACCAGCTTTATTCACACCTCAAAGCCTTTGGGACAAAGCTGCAACTTTTCATAAGGCAGTTGTCACAAACACAGCCCAATACCATACATTTTTCAGCGTTGCAGGAAATAATGAACAGTTTTCCACAGGACAATATCAGTGCGCAAACGAGCAGGTATGCAGCAGACATTGCATCTCTGGCTGGGGAGTTTAAACGGCGCTTTCAGGATTTTGCAGCTAATGAAAAGGAGGTCAGCCTTTTCTCCTCTCCATTCTCTGTTGACCCCGAGGATGCTCCAGATCAGCTGCAGCTCGAGCTCATTGAGCTGCACTGTGACAGCGAGTTACGCAGTCGTCACCAACAGCTCTCTTGTGAACTTTTACCGCCAACTGGATAAGAGCCGGTTTCAAGAGATTTGAACATTGGCTAAGAAAATGCTGAGCTTGTTTGGCTCAACATATATGTGAGAAGACATTCTCTGCTATGAACTTTAACAAGAACCGCGTGAGGACAAGACTAAGTGACTCTCACCTGCGTGACATTTTGCGCATCAAAACCACTGCCTTTGAACCAGACCTAGCCTATGTGCTGCAGTCCAGATCTCAGTTTCACCCTTCACATTAGTGTAGGCAAGTTTTTTTTTTTTTTTTCAATTGAGATGAATACATTTTAAAATCTCAGTTAATGTCAGTTGGTCTAAATCAGTTATAAATATATTTGGACACAACATGTATAGTTGGTGTTATGTTCCTGTTCATATTTTTTGAACTTAAAAGTTGATAATATGTAATGTACTTTACAATGTTCCTGACATATATTTCAGCTTCCTGGATTTTTTTTTTCATCTGGCCTTCAGATATGAAAGGCAGAGTGATTTAACACCTGTTTAGATTTGTCATCCATGTGACAAAATGAAAAGTATGCAGTTTGCAATAAACTTTGCATAAAATAGTTAATTTGCATTTAATTTTAATGGTTCAAAGAATGTCAGGCAAAATGGTCGGCCCTCACGCATGTTCACTTTATCAAATCTGGCCCTCTTTGAAAAAAGTTTGGACACCCCTGCCTTAAGATCTTACAGATGCCTTTCTACATGGATATTTGCAGATCATATACAAATTAGAGGAGTCTGAGATGAGTATCATAGTGATGAGAATATCATGGTACCTCCCGACTCTCATTTTGCCTGTTCTACTTTCTGACATGGTGTTTCATTGGCCCTTAATTCCATACAGTCTAAAAGGGTATTTTATGATTATAGAGGTTGTTGGGATAGTTTTCAAATAAACCTCATATTCAGAATACATGGAACAGCTGAGATGTTAATAGCACACACTCAACTCACCAGGACAGAGTCAAGGTCAAACTTATTCTTCAAGCAAAGGAGTTAGTCTTTTTTGCTTATGACAATGTGTTGTTTTTGTTTTTTTTTTTTTTTTTAACTGGAATTCTCATTTTGATTTCTGTAGGCATATTTTGTTTCTTAAATCTTTATTAATCTACATGGTAATTTTTGGTTTATACTTCGATACTTCACAATTATTTGATATTTTCAGATGAAAAGTAATGAAACTCAGAGCACTCCCGCCAGGTAGGTAAATATTATACTAATTTTAGAGATGACTAAAGCGAGGCCCAGAGAAGTTTACATTGACTTGTCTAAAGTCACGCAGAGCCCTCTGCTGGAACATTGTGTAGGAGTTCTCATTCCAGTTCCAGTTTCTACACACTATAACATTCTCCCTTCTCAGAAGCTAATCCAATAGGTCTAACCCATCTCCCCAAGAACTCCATTAATGATTGTGCCCTTGCTCCTGAAACTTTTGTGCAAAAGGGCCAGTGTAGACAGCTAAGATTTGTTTTGCGCAAAAAAGCCCTGATCGCAAAAATGGCGATCGGGGTTTCTTTGCGCAAAAGCGCGTCTAGATTGTGCTTTTGCGCAAAAGTGTCCGTGCCAATCTAGACGCTCTGTTCCGCAAATGCTTTTAACGGAAAAACTTTTCCGTTAAAAGCATTTGCGGAAAATCATACCTAGACGCGCTTTTCCGAAAATGCTTTTAATGGAAAACTTTTCCTTTAAAAGCATTTCCGGAAAATCATGCCAGTCTAGATGTAGCCCAGTAGTTGCGGCTTTCAGAAAACACCAGACAAACAGATGGCTAAAAGTCATAAGAGTTGGTAACATTGGCGAACAACACACCAACCAGCATGAGAGTTCATGAAGTAGGAACCAGTGGCACAGAGTAGTGGAAGGAACTATCTATGAATGTAGTTGCAACTTCAAGGGGTCTCGAGAGTTTCTTCTAACTGGATCTTCATGAGCTGCAAAGGTGTGGGGTGTGAGAGGGGCTCACTCCCTGTACATGCTTCAGGGCCACAAAGCCCTCAGACTAGATGGGATGTTTTCATGGAGTTTCCAGTCTTGCTGCTTTTTTTGTCCAATATATGTATTACATTTTCATGACTCCGTTATCACTCAGAATTCTGAATAAACTTCCTAAACTGATGTCTCACCAAGTTAAACATTCATAACACAGAAACTGAATGAAAAATGAATATTCATCTAGTAGCCATATTAATAAAGTGAACATTTAAAATGGGAGTTTCCAAAACTGTCTAACACATTTTGGTGACATTTCTAAACACCGTTTCATTCTGCAGGCATGGATATGTTTGCATTGTCATGGAAACAAATCTAAAAGCAGCTCATGCTGAAAAAAAAAATCCAAGTTTAAAGTTTGTTTTGGGGGGGGGGGGGAAGCTAGAGGGGTGATATCTTTCTGTGTGCATGTGAAATGGACACAATGTGATGCTGCTTTCTCTGGGTAGAAGGGTTTTTATTATTATTATTTAGTTTTTCACTGAGATTTCCATTAACCAAAGGGCTACTTTTTATACATACAAGGTTGATGCTAAAAGTGATCAACATACATGTATAAACTAAACAAGTACAGAGATGTATAAACTCTTCTATCAACTGCTTTAGAAAAATAGAAAATTGCAAGACTACCTCTAATGAGAGCAGAACCTCTGTGACACCATGAATCATATTTTTCTTTGTATGAATGTCGTTATTCATGAAAAAGTAACTACACCAGCATTTAATTTTTGATCCAATAACACATTCTTTTCTAATTTGGCTAAACCGAAACATCAAATGCCGAAGGACTAACATGCTTTCTAACCATAGTTTCAATAGCAGCTTGATAGGTATGTAAGGCATGCAGGTCATTTCCTGCCAAGGCTGAGAAACATGGGTAGGTCTGAGATAATAGTGCTAGTGTGCTTGACGAAGAACAAAGTTGTTAATGTTGTAGGTAGTTGCATTTTGGGGTAGGGGGCTTGTTGCTTCCTTCAAACCATCCCAGGTGCTTCCTGTGGCCTGACTCTCTCAGCTCTGAACAACAGAGGGATCAATAGGAGACAGGATAGGGATTTCCAGAGCATCACAATCATCGGTAAGGAATGCTAAGT